AGGACCTCTCTATCCATGTTACACCCAGTTGTGCATGAGACAATATGCATCATTTTAAAAAGCTATTCAGTACGACAAAGAAGTTAGCAACCAGAAATACAGTACAGTGCTTTTCAATTTTAGATCTCTAGGTCTTAGGTGAGATCTCAGAATGCCGAAAAATTCTATTTAACTAGCGTGCTCTTGTGAAAATGTCAGCAGAAAAACTAAAGCAAATGAAATCCTGAATCAAATTTGAAAATATTGTTGCCCTACTTTAGCAATCTCATCCTGCTGCCAGCCATGCTAAAAAGCCTACCATGCATGAAAGGACTTGTGTCAGCTCACCCCGGACCTACCTAGCACCCAGGTGCAAAAGTTCTACTGCAAACTACCACCCACAGAAGCTGCAGCTTCTCCTGGTTTCGCTTATCTCTGCAAAGAGCCACCACCACCATGTGAGTCCTTCTGCCAAGGCTCACTGCTGCTTTAAAGCAGTTCTCTGGTCTTTGCACCATGGAGGCAAGGCAGAAGTAAGTGGTAACTGGGCAGTTGCAGGACATACGGAGAAACTTTGGGGTGTCCACAGCTGAAGTTCCACTCCTTGCTCTGGTCCCGGAGTGCACCGTGGACTCCACTTTGGGAGTTCCTGCCTGCAAAGCAGCCCCATGGGATGGGTCTGCCCAGGGGGAGGCAGCACGACCACTGCTCAGGGTCCCTGTGGCAGTTTGGCTGAGCTGAGCAGGACTTGGGCATGAGAGCTTTCCAGGGCTTTGGCTGTAGGACAGATTGCATCTCCCAGAGCAGGCTGGGGTTGGGTCGGGCAGGGAGGAAGACAAAGATGATGAGGAAGGTCAGCTGGCAGTGGTAGCCGAGTCCTCGGGCTTCTTCATCTGCGGAAATGCTATGCAGGGTTCCAATAAGACAAAGATGGGGGAAGGGGCTATAGGGTGGGGGGAACTCAAGGGCTTTTGTTAATATTAGATTGACAATTGGCTACAACAAAAAACTGAAACCAAGAGATGAAACTTAAGACTACCTCACAAATTTCTTTTTTCAACTATAAGCTAATTTGTAAATAAAAGTATGTTGAGTAGCTTTTAATTCTCCATTGAAAGGAAAGAGGTTACATACTGATGAATACTGATGTCAACTTACTGTATAAGTAGTTCATGCTTAACAGCTGCCTCATACAGTGACTGTGTTCAGTTAATACGGTGATGAAAAAGAAATGGCAGCAAACTTCACATTTGCGACCTGCACAGCTCTGTAAAGCAAAGGAAAGTTGAAGTAAAATCAAAAGCACAGTCATGTTCAGTTAGCAACTGCTTAATGACTTGAGTTGCTGGCTCCTGTTATGATTGCTAAACAAGGACTACCTGTGTATACCACTTTTCCATCATAAAAATATTTTTTGTGCCTTTGAGGAATTGAACAGCATATGATTTTTTATAACATGAAAACTTTGATTCCACTTGTAAAACATTAACAGGATGACGAGAAGAACTAAATTCTAGCAGAAGCTATAAATTAATAAAAAGTGTAATGAAGTATAAAAAGATAAAAAGCATTATGGAGAAAGGTAGGCTTGTCAAAAATTGAAATAATCTGTCCTTCCTTTCCTAAGAAAAAATATATGGTACAAATGAAGAATTTGTAAAATATAAATTTGAGTATTTATATTGTTTTTGGACTGTAGATGGATTCCCAAGAAATATAAAAAGGATGTCATTAATGGAAATGATGTTCCTCGTAATTACATACAAATTCCCATTAACATTAGTATTACTTTTTAAATACTTTTCATCATTTTTTTTAACTGCTGCTTGTCAGAACAAGGCTTGGAAGGGGCCACATTATTTCCAGACAGCTTTAATTTCTGACATTTTGAGGGATCTGGTGGCAAAGCTATCTGTGACCCTAGAGCAGAGGCTCCCAACCTTTTGAGCACCAAGGACCGGTTATGTGGGGCGTGGTTTCGTGTGCTGCCTGTATCCAGCGGATGGGGCTTCATTTGTTTGCCCGACCTGGTTGCTGGTATGCTGCGGCCCATTGCCGATCCACGGACCGAAGGGTTATGGACCCCTGCCCTAGAGAGATTCTGCCCACTGGTGATAATTCTGAGCTCAGTTGGACCTGTTGCAGTTTAGTGCAGTTTCTCTGTTCAGTGTGGGTATAAATAAAGGTAATCTCTCCAGGTATTGATTTTAACAAACTAGTGCAGAGCAGAGCTTTGCATACAGCTCTACTCTGTACTTTTTCTGACCTCTATGTGTTCAACTAGGGGTTATGGAGAAGAATTATATTTGTGTTGGCTTGAATAGTCCTAAAAGCTCCTGGCATGAGCTGGGTGCTGAATGAAGCAAGGTACCAGATTCCATTGATAGCTGTATTTGGTTTTGATCCAACCCAAGCACAGGATCCTTCAGCCGCCTTAGTGAATTCTTGAAAGCATTATATCTTTTAGTAATATGTGCAAAAGCTACTCCTTAGAAGTAGCTCTCCTGCTATTCTTCCAAATCTGCCATACGTGCTAAGCCATGGATTAAACCCTGCCCCTCAGTTAAATTAGATCAGTCTCTGACTCAGATAAGATAAAGGGTGTTTTTTAGTCTGCCTCATTCTCTCTAATTTCATTAATAGAGGTTCACCTCCTTAGCAAACTTGCTTTACAGGTTGATTAATAATGACAACCTTGTTTAAGAGGCATTCCTTTAAAATATCTGTTGCTCAAGTGAAATTTACTAGAAAAGGCAGCATGCTTGGCTTTTGGCATTGTAGACAGTGCCACCAGGAGGCCAGATTAAGGCTGCAGTTGTAAATAAAAAGTTCACG